TGTATTTGAGGTAGAGTCTGATCAAAGAAGAAAGCTGTGCAATTCCCCATCACGGTTTGAAAGTTACATTTTAGTTGATACCACCTAAAATTGGGTCTGTTTTGCAAGCACATTTCGATTCATTCCCTGCAGTCAATTATTGTTCAAAAATATTTTTATATGTAATATTATCAAACCAAGTATTGTCCCATTGGCCTATACGTTTGATTCTCCTTTCTTAAACGAAGAACTACTGATTTGTCTGCTAGACTTCATTTGGTTATTTTCAGCCCATTTCTTAAACCTACTAAGATTGTTTTGAGTTTTATTTCTCACCTGTGGTGTTTAGCTATCAGACTCAATTTTGTGCAATCTGAAATGTAATAATAATTTTTCCAATTCTTAGCACTAAGAGGACTTGAGACTTGTGCCACCCCATACAATATCTCTAGCTAATCTCTGGTAATAAAAGCCATTGATGGAGACACCATGAGTATGATTTTCAAGGTAGTTGTATGGTCAATTAATTGACATGCTATTCAGCTAACATTTAACTAGTTGTTCAATATTTGGTGCTTGACCAGATATTTTGCTTGAATCAAAATATATTACCTTCTACTGATTAATTATGAGGTAGGTAGTCCTCATTTAGCAACTACTCAGATAGTGTCCATTTACAAATGCAACAGTAAGAAATGATAATAAAAAATCAATTTTACGATCAATGCACACATTTATGACAACAATAGCCTTCTGTGTGAAATTAATTACGATCTGGTCAGTTTCTGTGTGAACTGTCTGGAAGGTTCTAATTTAAGTTCATAGAGCTGAGATTAATTTAAATTTAGCACTGCCCTGGGGAGCAAAGCAGCTCAAAAGGAGATAGTTTGTTTAAGTAATTTCTCTGTCCTGCAAGGAGACAAAACAGGGGGAAAATGGGACAGGCACAGTTTACTTTACTTTATTGTCATTGCACCTCATATAACAAAATCAAACACCATCTTCAGTGCACATCATGACCATGAAAATAAACACAAACATCCATCCTTCACCCTTCACACATTGAACCAGAAACCCCCGACACCACACTAACACTGCACGATACAGAATCCAAAAGAGCTACTTCCCTGGGATAGAAGCTGTTTTTCAGCCTATTTGTCCTTGTTTTTATTATTCTGTACCATCTGCCAGATGGTAAAAAAAAAGGGTTCCCAGGATAAGATGGATCTTTGAGAATGTTTTGAACTTTCTTAAGGCAGCAGGAGCTATAAAGGTCTTCCAAAGAGGGGAGAGGGCATCTTCTGGGCAATGACATTAACCCTCTGGAGTGCTTTCCTATCTGCCACTGTGCAATTGGCAAACCATACAGAGGTGCAGTATGTTAAGATCCTCTCTATGGTGCAGCGGTAGGTCACCAGCAGTTTTCCATTCAGTTGTTTTCTGAGAAGCCTCAGGTAGTATAATCTCTGCTGGGCCCTTTTGACCAGGACTGCAATGTGGGCACCCCAGGTCAGGTCCTCTTTTATGGTATCACCCAGAAATTTAAAACTGGCCACTTGCTCCACTCGGTCTCCATTGATAAGCAAGGGCTGGATGTCTGATCTGTTCCTTCTATAATCCACTATAAGCTCCTTGGTCTTATTGGTGTTGAGGACCAAGTTATTGTCTCCACACCACGAAAGCAACCGGTCCACCTCATCTCAGTAGGCAGACTCATTCCCCCCCCCCCCCCCCCCCCCC